GTCTTCTTTGGTGAAGTGTCTGTTCATTTCCTTTGCCCATTTTTTAAGAATTACTGTCTTTTTGTTGTTGATGTGTTGAAGTATTTTATAGATTTTAGAGATTAGACCCTTGTTGGCTATGTCATAGCCAATTTTTTTCCCCCAGTCTGTAGGTTCTCTTTTTGCTGTTTTGGTGAAGTCTTTTGATGAGCATAACTGTTTAATTTTTAGGTGCTCCCAGTTAACTAGTTTATCTTCTGGTGTTTGAATTGTTAGTTATGGTTTATATTGTATTTATGCCGTGTCTTGGCCCCTAGTGTTGTCTCTATTTTTTTCTTCCATGATCTTTATCATTTTAGGTTTTTATACTTATACTTTTTATACTCATCCATTTTGAATTAGTTTTTGTGTATGGTGTGAGGTATCGGTCCTGTGTCATTTTTTACAGGTGGGCATACAGTTTTGCAAGCACCATTTGTTAAGAAGACTGTCTTTTCTCCATTTAATGGACTTTGGGCCTTTGTCAAAGATCAGCTGACCATAGGTAGATGAATTTACATCTGTGTTCTTGATTCTATTCCACTGGTCAGTGCTGTTGGTATTTGGATTGGGATTGCATTATATCTGTAGATCACTTTGGGTAGAATTGACATTTTCACCAATGTTGAGTCTTCTATCCATGAGCGTGGTATGTTTTCCCATTTATGTAGGTCTCTTTTGGTTTCTTGCAATAGCATTTTGTAGTTTTCTTTGTATAGGTCTTTTATGTCCCTTGTTAGATTTATTCCTTTATCTTTTTAGGGGCTATTATAAATGGCATTGTTTTCCTGATTTCCTTTTTGAAGTTCTCTTTGTTGGTATATAGGAATCCAACTGATTTATCTTGTATCATGGTACTCTTCTGAATCTTTCTATTAGTTCCAGTCGTTTTCTTGTGGAATCTTTGGGATTCTCTGTGTATAGTATCATATTGTCTGCGAATAGAGATCGTTTTACTTCTTCCTTTCCATTTGGATGACCTTTATTTCTTTTTCTTGCCTTATTGCTCTTGCTAGGACTTCCAGCACAATGTTAAATAGGAGTGGTGATAAAGGGCATTCTTGTCTTGTTCCTGTTCTCAGAGAGATGCTTTCAGCCTCTCTTCGTTGAGAATGATGTTACCTGTCTCTCTTCACTGAAAATGATGTTACCTGTCTCTCTTCATTGGGAATGATGTTACCTGTGGGTTTTGTGTAGATGCCTTTTATTATGTTGAAGAATTTTCCTATTTTATTGAGAGATTTTTTTGTTTTTGTTATTTTAATCATGAATGGGTGTTGGATTTTATCAAAGCTTTTTCTGCATAGATTGAGATGATCAGGTGATTCTTTTCTTTTGTTCTGTTTATGTGGTAGATTACATTGATTGATTTTCTAGTGTTGAACCATTCTTGCATACTTGGTATGAATCCCATTTGGTCTGGGTGTATTATTTTTTTGATATGATGCTGAATTCTATTGGCTTGAATTTTGTTGAGAACCTTTGCATTTATATTCATGAGAGATATTGGTCTGTAATTTTCTTTTTTTGTGGTGTCTTTGCCTGACTTTGGTATCAGGGTTATGCTAGTTTCATAGAATGAATTTGGGAGTATTCCTTCCTTTTCTATGTTCTGAAATAGTTTGAGTAGTACTGGTGTGAGCTTTTCTCTGAATGTTTGGTAGAATTCTCCAGTGAGGCCCCCTGGGCCAGGGCTTTTTTGTTGTTGGGAATTTTTTATTACCACTTCTCTTGTTATGGATCTGTTCAGATTTTCTATCTCAGTTTGTATTAGTTTATGTAGGTAGTGTGTTTCTAGAAATTTATCCACTTCCTGTAGGTTCCCAAATTCGTTGGAGTACAATTTTTATAGTGTTCTGTTATGATCCTTTTTATTTCAGTTGGGTCTGTTGTAATGTCCACCATCTCATTTCTTATTTGGGTTATTTGCTTCCTCTTCTGTTTTTCTTCTGTCAGTTTGGCTAATGGTTTGTCAATTTTGTTGATCTTTTTGAAGAACCAACTTCTGGCTTTGTTGATTCTTTCTATTGTTTTTCTGTTCTCTATTTCATTTATTTCTACTCTAATCTTTATTATTTCCTTTCTTTTGGTGCCTGTGGGCTTCTTTTGCTGTTCTCTTTCTATTTGTTTGAGTTGTAGGGATAATTTTTTTTGGCCTATTCTTCTTTTTTCATGTGTGCATTTGTTGCTATAAATTGATCTTTGAGCACTGCCTTTGCTGTGTCCCAAAGGTTTTGGTATGATGTGTTTTTTCATTCTCATTTGATTCTAGGATTTTTTTAATTCCCTCTTTGATATCTTCTATTACCCAGTTGTTTTTAAGCATACATTCAGTTTCCATGTATTTGACTTTTTTTTTCCTTGCTCTTCCTGTTATTGATTTCTACTGTTAAGGCATTGTGATGAGAGAGAATGCTTTGTATTATTTTGATGTTTTGAATATGATTGGAGGTTGCTTTGTGGCTTAAAATGTGGCCTATTCTGGAGAATATTCCATGTGCACTGGAAAAGAATGTATACTTTGCTGCTGTTGGGTGGAGCGTTCTGTATATGGCTGTGAGGTCAAGTTGTTTGATTAAAATATTTTTATATTTAAATATTTTAACTCTTTCAACAATCTGATTATCTCTTTCTTATTTCATTTCCTGGTTAAGGTTCTTAATCACTCTGTGCCATTCATTCCTTATTTGTATGCTGGGAATAATAATAGTATTCCCTTTATAGAGATGCTTTGACAGTTAAATGAGATAATGCATGTAAACCACCTAACTCAGTGTCCAACTCTCATAATTTTAGCTATTATTTCTTATTAAAGGATGTGAAGCAATTTACTCCAAAATCCAGTGTGGTTTTTGGTATCTTATGATGTCATGCCAGTCTATGATAGATGTGTTTTGTTTATACTTTGTAATATGGAGATTGAGACCATTCAGTTCTACTCACTGGATTTCCTGGAGTTGAATTTAAACATTCTCATCAAAGTTGATGTGACTCTGGCCATTCTCCTGATTCTTTACTAAGCATTATAACAGCCTTGTTGTGTACACTAGGAAAATGATGTTATTACTTTCTCCTGGCTCCTTCCTAAAAATGGCATCATCTTGATCTCATGACCATAACAGCAGTGCAGGAAAATATATCATGTCGAGGAGGAAATTATGACCAGTTTGGTGGTGAGCAAGATAAAATTTTAGGAAAACCTGAGTATCATACAGATACATTTAATTTGACCCTTTTCTTCCCAGGAACATCCTGATTTTTTGTTTATAAAATCATTTGGATGTCTCCTGTAGACTTTGCTCTAAAACTAAAGCATGTAAAGGTCTTTCATTCTTGTTCACAAGAAGAAAAGGGCTGACTGTCTTCATGCAAATTAAGTTGGCTTTTGTTGAAACCTTCAGGGAACTCATCTATGAAATGAAGACTCACACACAGAAAAAAAAATACAGTACATCTTACTGTTCTTCTTTCAGCCCATGTAAGATTGTTTCCCACAGTATAGAACACTTTAAAAAAAAAAAAAAAAGTTCTCAACACAATGCCAAAACTCCAGCAATGCCTTAGACTGCTGTGAGGGGTTGTGGAAGTGGGGAAGACATGTACTCAATACTTATTATTTTCAGATTTTTTTCTTTACATAGACAGGAAATGTGTCAATGAATGCAGTGAGGTAGAACTGATTTCTAAATTTAAGAACCACAATTACAGACATCAGACTTCTGAGCTTCTTTTTGTTCCTCAGTAATTTCTAAAATATATAAAATGCTAAATGGGGTAGTGTAAAAATTGTTTGTTAATAATGAGTAAAGATTGTTTTGAGAGTGTCTAACACTTCAGGGATGTAACTCATTATTCTGACTGTATTAATTGAGGCTTCTTTTTTTTTCCCATTTTAGTGACAATTTCAACAAGCACCTTCTTTGATGGCTTGCTGGTGACAGGACTATACACATCTACAAGTGTTCAGGCTTCACAGAGCATTGGAGGTTCCAATGCTTTTGGATTTGGTGAGTTATCCTGACACAAGAAAACAGTAATTGTGGATATTTTATGCAGCTATAGATCTTATGTTTTGGAAAAAATTGCTTTAAAAGTTTAATATATTCATCATTTCAGAGAAAATAATCTAAAGTGATTTTTGTGTGTTTGAATTGGTGAGTTGAAATAAGTCATGTAAATGTGTGGCCAACCGTGAGCTTGGTGTGACTGTCTGTCCCTTATTGTCAACTACCACTGTTCCACCTGGTTCTGTGGGGTTCGTTTAAATTTTTGTGTTCTGTTGCCTAGGTTGCTGGAATTCACTCTGATGCCAAAGTGGTCATTCAGTAACCTGCTCTCCTAAACAGTTCTTAAAATCCTGTGGTAGGTGAAAAGTGTCATTTTAAGTTTGGCAAGTAAGCATTGTATAGAGTGGAAGATAGTAATGTTTATTAAAATGATTAAATTCTGTAAGTATTCATAAAAGAATGCCATTTAATACTTAAAACATTCATAAGGGGTCATTGGCCTTAGATCGGAGACCTGGCAGGTTGCTTATGTGAAGAGGCAGAAGGCTACATGATAGTCACTAATCCCAGAGGATTCTCGATTTGGAAATCTCTAGTTTACCCATAATGCTGTAAGCATGCCAAGCTGGGATTAAGTAGAACCTTCACAGCATGAAAAATGTAAATTTAAAATATCAGTTTATGTAAGACGTGAAATCACTGATTTTACTCTTAAAATTGGAAAATTACACGGGACTTCCTCCACTGGTGTGAGATAGAATTGCATTATCAAAGGCAGCCATGTGTCAACACTTTATTTTTATGGTGGTAAATAAATAAATAATTTTTACCTACTTTTGATATGTGAAAGGGCACCTCCTCTCTGTTGGGTCCCAGCAGTAGCTCTGCCCAGGTGACTTATTGACTGATGTGAGAGCAATAATGTCCATGCTGCATTGTTACTCTACTTGCCAACATGAGATTCACAGCCTCAGGGCTTAAAGGAACCTGGAAGTCATTTAATCATCATGTTAAATTACTTGACCATTGAGAATTTGCCCTATTTTTAAAAGAGCCAGATAAGATTTTACAGTCTGCTGGTGGCTAATTCTTAGTCCTAATCATCAGGAAAAAAAATATTCCTCTGAGGTCTAAAAATTCCACGCCACTTTTTCTCCTCTGCAGACATTAAAGGTCAGATTACAATCATATGTATGATACATGCACATAAGTATATGGCATGAAACCAAAAAAAACAAACCCATTGCTGTCAAGTCGATTCCGACGCATAGCGACCCTATAGGACAGAGTAGAACTGCCCCATAGAGTTTCCAAGGAGCACCTGGTAGATTCGAACTGCTGACCTCTTTGGTTAGCATCTGAGTGCTTAACCACTGTGCCACCAGGGCTTGTTGTAGGAGAGACATGCATTAATTAAATAACTATATAAATATATAATAGCAAACTTTGGTAGAGGCTAGCAAAGAAATGTACTGAGTACTGAGAAAGGGTACACTAGAGACTAGATTTAGTCTGGTGTGAAGTTGGGTGGGATCCTGAAGAAGTGGTATTTGAGCTGAGATCTGAAGGATGTTAATTAGCTAAGGGTCTGTGGAAGGTGGGGCACAGCATACCTAAGGAAGAAACAGCTTGCAAAGGCCTCAAGGTGAGAAGATGCCAGCTATGTCTGAGGAACTGAAAGAAAACCTTGGGGTAACTGGACCTGGAATCTAGAGGGAACATAGTAAGGCTGGATAGAGACCAGGGCCTGACCATTCAGGATCTTGTAAGTTTTTGGTTTTTACACTAAGACAGGGGGATGCCATTGAGGGTTTAAGGCTGAAGAGAGACTCTACTAGCCTTCATTTTAAAGAAATCACTCTGGGGCCAGCATAAAAACTAAACGGTCAGGGCCAGGAATGAATGCAGGAGGACCATTCAGTAGTTAAAAGATTCCGATACGGCAAAGCACGTGAGGAGCACAGGTGGAGTGTGGCTGGCATAGGCACCAAGAAGAAGCCATGTGTGGAGGATTAAGAGTTCTAGGCTGTGCAGTCATGCGTGCAGATCCCATCCCCACCCTTATTCGTTGTGTGCCTCAGCCAAGTTGCTTACCTCTTTTGGGTTACAGTCGGTATCTATGAAATGGTGACGATAATGGTGCTTGCCTCATAAAATGTCGGGTAGCTGTGAGCATTAAATGAGGCGATTTATGTAAGGCGCTTAGCACACAGAGAACACTCAATAAAATTAACTATTCCAGAATTGTAACTCGTGATAACTGAAGCAGCTGATTTCCTTAGTCCAGGAGTTTTATATACTTCCTTGGGGTGGGGGTGGGGGGGTAGAGGGAGAGAAAAAACAATTTTCAAGTGGAATTAATCTCAGGCTTGTAGGTCAAGATGATTTGAGAGGACTTGGCTGAGTAAAGTATGTATCATTTGTCAGTTTGGGGGCTTTAGATGAAGATAGTCATTAACAATCATTCACAACTATGTTGTAAACATATTTTGAAAGGATCTATTAAATGCATGTATCAAGTCACCTCAGATTTTTTGCTAGAAAGCCATACAAAAAACTAAGAATGATAAATTGTTAGAAATTATTTAAGACACTCAAGCTTTAAGACATTTTCTGTGGTGGCTTTGAAAGCTGTAAATAGGCAGTTTTCGCTTGAATTAGAATGTATTTTGATTAGCTTAAATTGGACTTAGCCTTCCTCTTGCCATCAACCCTATATCACTGGTTTGACGGGCTGAATTGGTTTCTGAATGTGGGCGTAGCCCATCGATGGTAGTTTGACTTCTATAATAAAATGCTCAGGTCTCCCACGAGACAACTAGCGTTTTTAGAGGACATGATTTTTATATGGCTGGGTAGAGAGGCGAGATCTTTTTAAATTTCCAGTGGTGTCCAAAGAAATTTGTATATATTTATATGATAGTGGTTATTAGTAAGTTTAAAAACAAAACTTAATAATATGCCTGAATATTGTTGAACAGAATTAATCTTCATGAATAATGTTCTTGAATAGAAAGCAGGTGGTAAAATATCTTTTTAGAGAAAATTGTCGCTTTGAGACGCAGCCCCATTAATCTTTTGGTATTTGATTTAACATATTCTTTACAATTTAAAAATAAAGTGAAAAAGATTTAATTTGGTTAGTGTGTGGATGGGAAAGTGGAGAAAACTTGCAGAAGGTAAAACTTAAGTTGCTGTGTTTTGGTAGCTTAGTTTTAGTAGGATCAGACCGAAATGTGTCATTCTTTGATCTAGAACAAAAGAGTTATTGAATGCATAAACTATTATTAGGCTCTGACTTTCTGATGGAGTATTAAGCAAACAGGATTTGTTTGGCATTTTCCCAACGTATCGTAGGACTTGTGTCTGATAATGTGTAACTAGTTGTGACAAATATTGTAAAGTAAGGACTAAATAGGTACTTGTACTTCTGAAAGTTTTTCGCCCTTTAATTTTAATTGTACTAATTACACTAAAGTTATGGCCACTCTCCTTTGAATATAAAATGTGTGTATGACCAGCCAAAATAAGGCCATAATTATTTTTAAGATACTGTTTTATAAATGTAAGTCCAGTAACATAACTACAGCCTTTTATGCAAAACCAGCATTCTTTAAAATGCATGCCTCACTGACCAAAAATAGACAAATGCCTAATAGCCAGAAATACATTAAAACAATAGCTATGCAAAAGATGATTGTAAGCCAGCAATGCATGATTTGAAATACCTCATTTTGCTTGTCAGTGTAAGAAAACATGCTGCCCTAGGGAAGTGTGGTGCTTAATTATGGATATCTCTTTGTGCATCCCAGAAAAAAAAAATGCTACCGTTTCATCTTTGGCTTTGAATTCCATTTCAATCATGGAAATCTTGAAGGCTCATTGTGATCGCTAAATGATGGGCTATTTAAATAGCCTTTCATACAAAATTGTTCCTTTTCCAGGAGCTGAAATGCATTTTACTCAATATTTAGTATTCTGGCTCTAAAACCTAGAGATTTTGCCCAATTTTTAGTATTCTGGCTCTAAAACCTGAGAACTGGGTTTGTAGTGCTGATAAATAGCAGCCATACTTCAAATTGTTAGACCTTGCATACATTAAACTTTTGTACTGTGCAATGCCTAGGTAACTTTTCTTAGCTAATATAATACATCAGCTACTTTAGCAGTTTTTCTCTTAAACTTTTATAATTTCATATGTGTTTGATTTCTTTTTCTGTAATCATTAGGCATCCTGGGTCCAATAATTTGCTAAGTTACAAACCTCTTAAAATGGCAAGATTTGATAAAGCCTGGATTTTGGGGGAAATGTAATGAACAGATCCAGTATTTTTTCTATTTTTTTCTCTCTTAAATATTCAGGGAATCATGTCATATTTTTAGTAGAGTTAAGTGACTAACATAAAAATTTAATATTTTCAATATTATCTTTATTTAAAACAGTATTAGAATTACTGAACTTAATGTTCTAATTTTTTTTTCCAATATGATTCAACACTCTTACTTTAGGTGAGTCGGGGTATATTTACAAAACAAATTATTTAACTATCTTAAGAAAGACTTCAAATTTCAGTAAATCTCATATTGTTCCCTGTTGTGTGTGCCAGTGCGTTGATTCCGACTCATAATGACCCTGTATGACTTGACGGCAGTGGGTTTGTTGGTTTGTTTGTTTTGGGTTTAGTTAAGAAACGTGTACTTCAGTAGATTTAGATTGTATGTTAATGTTTACTTTCCAAGTTGCAAGTTTTTGTTACTACTGTGTTTCGTTGACACCAAAAATAAAAGTATAAGGTTTTATTTAAACTAACTTTTGGTTATCCTTCACATTAAGGCTAAGTAGAACCTTTCACAACTTGCTAATTATTCTCTCCCCACTCCTACCCCCAGGTGTTAGCTACAGTTCAGTCTTAGGTGTCCTGTCTGTGTGACTGTGACACACACAAATGTCCTGAATACATGCACGTATTTCAGCTTAATATCTGTAGAGAAGGGCAGCC